TTTTTTAAATCCACTTTGAATTCAATTTTTGTAAGTTTTTTTAGCGGATTCACTGAGCGAATTCCAAGTCTTTGCTCCAATAAACCTTTTTATTAAATTTTCCATAATTGGTCCTAATTTTAGGAATTGAATATGATGACCCAGAGGCAAGTCTTGTATCATGGCTATGTTTTATGTCTAGAAAAAAGGTGTCAAATGATGTTGGCAAGATTCCATAATGGAAGTCGTACATAAACATAGCAGTGACTAAGTGAACAAGGTCATACATCTTAATAATCTTCAGTTTTAGAAATAAGGGATTAGTATAATCTGAAAATGTGATTAACCTAACGATCTTTTTTTGTAAAATAAAAAGTGGATTTAATAATGATTTATTAATTTTTGTAAAAATAATGGATTTAATGTAGTATGGTATGTATTACCCCCAAGTGATTAAACAATAGGTTATATGGATACACCAAAGCATAGTAAAGGTTTTTAAGAATTTCCAGATTAACAATTTAAAGTGACGAACTTTTGAAATCGCACCAATATTACGTTTAATTTTCTTTGAGACATGAGAGACATGATCCCTCCAATTTAAGTGGCGATCTATGACTACGCCTAAGTATTTGGTTTTGTACTCGCGTTTTAAAGATTCATTATTTAAAATCACCCGAAAACTATCACCTATCTTTTTCTGGATTGGATGGAAAATAACAAAACTAGACTTTACAATTTTAAGTGACAATTTATTAGCACATAACCATGTACTAACACATTTTATTTAAATATTGATGCATAACTCCACCTTTGGTAGTTTCTTATCAGTACAAAAAATATTAGAATCGTCTGCAAACAAATGAAAATCTAAAATTTTGGAACAGTTATGAAAGTCGTTTATGTATAATAAAAAAAAGAATAGGACTCAGGACTGAGCCCTGTGGTCCTCCACAAGTAATACCCAGCATGTCGGATTTAACACCGCCCATAGAAACAAACTGTTTCCTATTATCTAAATAAGATTTAAACCAATCATTTGCCATGGCCTAATTCCATAATATTCAAGCTTTTGTAATAGAATTTGGTGGTTCACTGTATCAAATGCCTTAGATAAGTCCAGAAAAATTCCACAAGAATAATTGCCATCCTCGATCGCATTTTGAATTTCATCTATTATGGAAAGAACTGCATGCAGCGTAGAATGATTCGACCTAAAACCAAACCGAGTGCTTTTCGTACAATTAATTATGTTTAGTAACAAAGTGCTTGAGCCGTCTACAGACTAATCTTTCAAGAAGTCCATTAAAAATTGAAAGTAATGAGATCGGTCGATAGTTATTAATAATAACCTTGTTTGTGAACCGGAATAACACTAGCAGTCTTAAATTTATCAGGGAGAGTGCTAGAAGAAATAGAACAATTAAATATTGTTGCTAAGGGTATAGATATATGTTCTTTTATTAATTTCAATATTTTTACTGGCACACCGAATGGACCACTACTCTTTGAAGTATTAATGTTACTTATTTCTTCAGCAATTTCATTTACACTAATTGAATTTAGAAAAAACTATTACATTGTCTTAATGCTGGCATAAAAGACAAAGGAGATACACTTGTTGCTGGAATATTATTGGCAAGATTATTGCCTATATTTGTAAAAATGCATTAAAAGAATTTGCTATTGAATATGTATTTGTTATTGCAATATTGTCAACAACAACCTTAGATGGTATACTATTCCTCAAAGGCTTAAAAGAAATTATTTCTTTGATCCCTTTCCAAATGTTATTGATATGCGATTTATTATGTCTAAAGTAGTTATTATAATAATTAATTTTGCTAATTCGTATAAGATGATTTAATTTATTTCTATGCAACTTAAATTTGGAATGATAATAAACTGATTGCGATTTGATAAACTTCCTGTAAAGATTATTTTTTATTTTTAGGGATTTTCTAATACCAAAAGTTATCCATGGTTTTGAAAGACACTTAATTTCCATTTTACTCATGTTCGGGATATGTTTATCAACAATGTTTGATAATTTATCATAAAATGAATCAAACAATACATTTACATCATTATTAGCAGGATTATTGGTCCAATCAGGAGCCTGTACATCGTGAAGAAAATTCCATTCATTAAAATTGGAATAATCTCTTCTAAATAGTTCAGAATTTTTAGGCAAAGTGGAAAAGTTATTTAAGATAAGGAAATTAGAAAGATGTTCTGATAAGTCATAAACAACATTTCCACTGATCGTATGGTGACTAATGGAATTTAAAAATATATTGTCAATTAAAGTAGCTGAGTGGTGAGTTATACGTGTAGGTTGAAGTATATGAGGGTTGTAAAAATAAGTGCCTAAAGTATTTAAAAGTTCTTCAGTAGGAGAATGAGAGTCCCAATTTAGCAAATTTAAGTTGAATTAGTCACCCATCAAAACACACAACTTTTGCTCATTATTAATTCTGTCAAGCGTATTGTTTAAATACGTCATAAAAGTTGAAATCTCACTATGTGGGTGTCTATAGATCACACCACAAATAATATTTTGGTCAATAAGTCTACTTTGGATTTCAATCCAAAGAGTTGCATGCCCTGCCACTATTTCAGAGAGATCATGATCATATAACAGACTGTCATTTATAAAAAAGCCAACACCTCCAGCATTAGATAAGCTAGGCTGAGAAACAAATGTGTAGCCCTTCAAGTGTTGGTTACACAAGTTGTCATGAGTAGTTTTCAATCTGGTTTCGGTAAGACCTATTATTGAAAAATTGTAGGAAAATTCTGAGAGCATTTGTATCAACTTATCAAAATTAGAGTTTAGACTTCTTATATTAGAGTGCAGGCAGGAAAAATGGTCGGACGATACAAATTCATTTATGATATCGTTAGTTTGAAATTCATCAGTAGTATAGTATTGGAAATTAGACTGACTTGGAATATTCAGATCAGGATCAAGATTAGAAACATTATTTTGACTGTTCAGGACTTGTGTCAAATCTAGTTGAGGTAAAATATTCAAATGATGTAGTTCAGGAGAATACAGGTAATCTATATAAATATTTATATAATATACTCATCTTGTTAAATATTATTATTATCTCATTAGTGGATTTTGTTAACGTCCTTCGTTTCCAAGATACTGATTACTGGACTATTTTCATACTTGCGTAGTAATATTTTCCCAGCCGATGTCCAAATAAATTTGTAATTTAAACCTTTCTTATCCTCCAAGCATAAATTGAAAAGTTTACGATTTTGCTGTGTGAGGCTTTCGCCAATATAGATTTTGTGTTCTGCTACTCTCGTCAATCCAATATCCTTAGTCGACTTTCCTCGAAGATGTTTCCTTGAAGTATAGAATTTATCTCGCACTTCTCTTCGAACAAATTTCACGATTATTGGTGGGTCATTCCTTAAAGCACCTGCATGCATTACTGTTCGTCTTAGCAGCAAGGCGATGACTTACTGAGATATCCTGATCTTTGATATCTACGCCAATTAAATCACCAACTGTTTTGACCACCTCATTGCAAACTTCATTCCTTTGAATGGGTATGCCTTTAATCTCAATACAGTCTCTTCTTGAATACTGTTCAGCGTTATTCAATTCTTGTTTCATTATCTTTAGGCTGTTGGCCGTATTTTGTATCTCAGCTTTCAGGCATACATTCTCGTCAGCAAGACGAGAGTTCTCCTCTTCTAAACTTTTTATCTTCGGAATGAAATCATCATATTCCTTACTCAAAAAATTTATCGACTCTTCAAGTTTGTCAATTTTATCCATCTTAGACTGCAAATTATCTAAAGTTTTAAGCACTGCATCCAACTTGTTACCCAATAGTTTACTCATTAATTGCTCCAATGACTTTTGATCCATCTTTCAGTATGATTAAAGAAAATTTATACAAGAAAATTCGAAAATTACTTAAAATTTTAACAGAGAAAAGATGAACCGCCATCTTGACTCCAGTGCTTCTACTTATCACTTATCACTTATCAGTAGGTTAGATTCAAACCCGATAGTAAGTTCAACGACATAAAGATCTTCATTTGGAGTAACTAGGAGTAAGTCCGGTCGATATATGTCACCAGTTATAAAAAATGATATATTTAGTTATAGAATTATGTCTCCAAGTAAAGCGCTGAAGGTACGATTGGCAGCCGGCTACCACGTGTAGTAGGGTTTCAGGACACAAACAAAAGGAACATTCGGGACTTAAAGCTAACCCCATCTTGTAAGATTTTTTCGCTTAGGAAGAGAGCAATTTATGTAACGGACGGTGAAGTTGAAAATGTTCTTTGGCAGTTTTGATTGAGCCGCAGACCAAAGTGTGTTTAGGGACCGGTCATAGAGTATTTACTAGGGGTGTGGAGGATATTTTTGGGGGTACGAACAAACCCCAGAACCTCTGAGCGGGGTACGAAAAAAAACCAGAACCACTCGGGGGTACGAAAATCTTAGTACTATAGGTAGGGAAAAAAATTAAATTTTATAATTATTGTTGAACATTGAATGTATTTGTGCCCGAATTTAAGTTTGGAAAGAATTGTTTTACTAATGTCAGATGATAAGTGGGATTCAGTATCCGTGGAACTAGTTTGGACTACAAATCTGATACATCTGAATTGTCAATGCTAGCAAGCTCGCACCATTAGAACCTGATGAGAAAGTGTCACATTGAATGGAAGCAAAATTTTTCTGTTTGAAATAAACCCAATCTCGTACCCAGAGCTCAACCATGGCTCTGGGTACGAGATTGAAATAAACCAAAAATAATTTTTTCTGCTTGTTCTTACTCTCAGCCCATCGCTAGTATATCAGAAATAGAAAAGACTGGTAACGAATCGGAGACTGCGGAAAATGTTGAGGATATATATGGTTACCACTACAAGAAGTGGGAGAGTTATCACAAACGCAAGACAAATGTTAAAACAGAATTAATGATAGAAAAGGGGGGGGTGAAAATTTTCACTTACATTGAAGGGGGTTACGAAAATTTTTCCATAGGTTTTTGGGAGGGTATGGAAATACGTACTTGAAATTTCATTTAACCTCCACCCCCCTCTAGTAGTTACTTTATGACCGGTCCCTTACGTGCAAACGATATCAGATTTTTTCGATCTATTGCCGTCCCCAAACTTGATACGACATGAAACCAACTGATCATAGTCTCATTACTATATCGTGGTATGATTATTACAATATCAGACTCGTTGGAACACCTTGTTGCGATCTACTGTCACCGACCTTGTTACAACTTGTCAACAACTGGCATGGGTAGTGGGTGCAAGTAGTGCGAACACATCGTGTTGCCAAGCTGTGAAATATTTACGTGTACATGGTCAGTCTAGGGAGACATAGAAAACTGACATAAACTAAGACACATATTGCATTAATATATTTTCAATAAAAGAATTGAAATTTTTGCGATCTTTTACCGTCTCCACCCTTATTACAACATGAAAAGAACTTGTTTCAGACTTGCCGACAACTGGGAACAAACAGCTGCTAATACATCTTGTTAACAAAGTGTGAAATTAGTTAGACCGCGAGCAGTCCCTCGGGAGAAACGCAAAATTCCCATTGGTCGAAATCAATGTGCCTGTCAATCAAATCTGATATGTAGCGTAGTAATTATGCTATAAATAATCTCCAGACTGAATGTTGATTTTATAAATAAACATGACATTAACGGTTCCTATTGGATAGATTTAATTGGACATAAGTAATGTTTATGCATAGGCAGTGAGAGCCAACTTGACACGAGCGAAAAGTGGGCGTATTTCGCTTCTTGATGTGTTGCCGGCAGTCCCTCCTTTCCCCTCGCACGCCCGGGAAGCTAAGTCCGTGCAAAGGAGGGATCGATCACAGACTAGGTCAGTCTAGAGAGGCGTCTGAATATAACATAAACTAAGCATTATTAGTAGACCGTCCCCCTGCGTCCCCCACGATATTTTAACACAGAAATTGAAATCAACAAATCCATATATTATCAATTGGCTCATTAAATATTATTAATTGGCTCAACAAATCCATATGTTATCAATTGGCTCATTAATTTTATATCGTGTAGGAAACAGAGAGTTACTGTAGATGGAACTGTTACCAATTTTGTCAACATCAACAGAGGAGTACCTCAAGGTACAGTTCTTGGCCCCTTCTTATTTTCGTTAATGGTCAACGACGTTGACGCCAAACATCCACAAACGAACAATTTGGTCAAGTTTGCAGATGATTTACCAGTGAGTGTTCCTGTCACATCGTCTGGTGACTCGGCTTTGGACGAGGTAACTAACATTAAGAGTTGGGCAAGCCACAATAGAATGAAACTCAACTTTAAAAAAAACTGGCAAATGTTACTATGTACTCGTTCACCTGCCATACCTCCCCCTATTAATGGAATACGACGTAAAAATGGTTAAAACTACTTGGTGTCACCTTTCAAGAAAACCCACGTTGTTGGGACAAGCAGGTAGATAGCTTGTTGTCAAAGGCAGGAAGTCGAATTTACATCCTGAGAGTTTGTAAATTCTACGGACATTCGCTAAATGAACTTACTAAATTGTTCGATTCATTGATCCTATGGGGATCGGCTTTGCAAGCGAAATACATTGATAAATTCAGCAAGTTTCTTAATCGTGCATTCCGATATGGATACACTCAAAATAAATATTTAATGGCCAAGTTGATTGAAAAGAGGGGTCGATTATTGTTCAATAAGGTCATGCACAATCCTGAACATTGCCTACATGAGTTGTTACTGGAAGAACGTCAACGACCTTTAAGAGGACGCGATCATCAATTTATGTTACCAAAAGTTTACACAGAACCTTTTAAACAATAGTTTTTGAACAAGTGTCTTTTTAATGACTTTTAGCTTTAAAATTTTGTTATACGATATATATTAACTATAGCGTAAATAATTTAATTTATAAATAATATTAAATTAGTAAATAATCTAATTAAAATTTCTTATATGCACTGAACGTTTTAAACAACTTTTGATGACTTGTAAATATCTAATTACTATATATATATATATCTTATATGCACTGTAAAGTTGCACGTTTGTTGCAACTCCAATTTTTAATAAAGACGTATGAATGAATGAATGAATGAATGAATGAATGAACGAATGAATGAATGAATAGAGCGTTTGCACATGACGTCACAACCGCCATGTTGGTGTTCCAATTCAAAAGAATTTTATTTAGACTCTTTTGTCTGGATTACCAACATGACCCCCATGGCTTTTGTTGAACTCGTCCCTGGGAAATGAGAGCAAACGCTCTATACTGTTTCAAATTATGTAATTTGATTGGCTACTCTACTCGCTATCTATTCCTCGATCGATAGCGAGTAGTGAAACAATAATTTTCCTGGCGCATTTTTTTAAATAGATTCCGGCTCGCGTTTTTCTGAGGAATATTTTATGTTTGATCTTTGATTCTATAAAAACAATTAGATTACTCGCTCTCGATTTCTATGAGGTGATAGTTGATTTGGGCTCCGCCCTCACCAACTATCACCTCATAGAAATCTCGAGCTCGTACATATATATTTTAATTGTCAAATATTTTTCAATAAAAGAATTATGCTAAATATATAGTTACCTACAGTTAACTGTAAATAACGAAAACAAATAAACAGTCGTCGTTGTGTGGAAACTGCAATAAAAGAATGGGCAAAAAATCTGTGACTTTGTTCGTTCACATTACGAATGAATTGAGCAAGCTTGACAAGATACCGCAGTCAAGTGATCAACTCCAAAAACAAAGATGTCAGTCAAATTGCCCATCATAATCTAATTGGTCTGACGTCAAAAGAGGAGTGCCATGTAATCAACAACATAGCAAAACAGTGTCACACAACATGCCAACTAAAACCTCTTTATCAAAAAACCAGACGTCCCACTGGTGGCGGCACCATTGAACTCCTACACATGATGCCATTGTGCACGCCATCAGTAATAGTAAGAGCTTACAATTAAGAATTGATTAAGTCAATTATTTTGTTCTGTTCTGTTCTGTTCTGTTCTGTTCTGTTCTGTTCCGTTCCGTTCCGTTCTGTTCTGTTCTGTTCTTTTCTGTTCTGTTCAAGACTCATCCCCAGGCTCCAGTACGTGCGTGGGGTTTGCGACGCGCAGCCCTAAAAGCACACCAAAGAATCTCACATTTCCCCCGCCCTCGCGTGTTTCTCCCGCGCCGGGGACGAGGCTGGTTCTGTTCTGTTCTGTTCCTATACGTTCGGCTTTCTTACAGATTTATTTATTTATTTATTTAGATTTGCCAAATAGGGCAGGCCGGTAGGGTCACCACAACAAGATATGCTAATTACTGTGGGCCCTTTTACCTAACCCACCCTGTCAACTTTCCCTGTGGGAGGAATCCAGAGCACCCGGAGGAAACCCACGACTTTCGGCAGACCGGCATTGACTTTCACTCTTTTCACACGAGGATTGGGTTCGAGTCGCATTGAGAAAGTTCTCACTGAGATATGAACTTGCGACTTTGAGGTGAAAGGCAAGTGCGTTAACCACTTCGCCACGGAAGCCCCATCTGGAAAGAAGTTGTCATCATCCTGAGGAACAAATTGTCATCATCTTGTAACAAGGTTTGTGACGGCAAAGCCTTCTAACAGGTTGATATAACAAGCATAGCTGATATTATCTGCACGTCTTAATTGTCGTCTTCAACTTGTTACGTGCGACGATTTCAGGCTTAAGTTCTTTGTATATTTGCATGGCGATAAAATATAATAGTGTTGTTTGTGGAAACACCACATAAATTTATTACTGCAAAGCTTTCGATCCATAAGCCCGGATCTTCATCAGTGCTAATAATATGTGACTTGTTTAATTCACACGCTCTTTTTATATACAAAAGTGTCGTGATCTGTTGGCTCGCGTCATTTGAAATTTAATTAAACGGCACATCAACCACGTCATTTCAAACGTAGTGAAGTGATTCAATTAACGCGCGCGTATCCAAGACAAGAGAAATTAATTTTGCACATTAAAGAGAGCACGCCATGTACTATCTAGTGGCTTTCCCTCCTGATCTATAGTATTGTGCTTCTCGATTGCAATTGACTCTCTCATTTTGCGAAAGAACTTATGACTATCAATCGCCAAAATGGTTGCTTCGTCCCATTTTATACGATGGTCGTAAGTCCAAGTATGTTTAGCCACAGCAGATTTATCTTGCTCGGCTTTCTCGCAATTCGTCTTGTGTTCCTTAAGACGTACTGAGAGATTTCGACCAGTTTCACCAATGTAAACCAGACCACATTCACAAGGAATGGGTGACACCAGGTTTCTGAGATTCATTTACGTTGTCCTTATGTGTGCACATATTATTAGCGCTGATGAAGATCCGGGCTTACGGATCGAAAGCTTCGCAGTAATAAATTTACGTGGTGTTTCCACAAACAAAACTATTAGATTTCAGGCTTGTTGCGATCTTTTACCGTCTCCAACCTTGTTACAACATGAAACCAACTTGTTTCACACTACGATATCAGACTCATTGCAACACCTTGTAGCGATCCTTTACTGTCACCGACCTTGTTACAAGTTGTCAACAACTGTGGACAAGTAGGGCGAACACAGATTGTTGCCAAACTGTGATAGATTTATGTGCGTGGTCAGTCTAGGGAGACGTAGCAAACTAACATAAACTCAGACCCATATTGCATTAATTTAAATTAATATATTTTCAATAAAACAATGATGCTAAATTACCATAAATAAAGTGGCAATGTAGTGTAGTTACCTTTAGTAGCTGTAAAGAACCAACGCAAATTAACAGTCGTCCTTGTGTTCAAACTGCAGTAAAAGAAAGAGCAAAAAAAGAGCGTCTTCGCGGTGACTGTGCTCATTCACAACTGGCACGAAATGAGCAAGCTTTAGCAACATACCGCAGTCAAGTGATCAACTCCAAAAACAAATATGTCAGTCACATTGCCCATCATAGTCTAATTCGTCTGACGTCAAAAGTACAGTTAAAAGAAAATAATTTTCATTTCGAACTATAAGCTCTTTATCAAGAAACGAAACGTTCCACTCGTGGCGGCACCATTGAACTCCCACACATCATGCCATTGCTCACGTCATCCACTAATAGGAAGAGTTTTAACCAACACTGTGCTCCAATTTGATAGTCAGTATAGTTAAAGTATAAATGTAGAGTAATTTTCAATTCTTGCTGTAAACATTTTTTGTAACTTGTTAATATCTATAATTGTATATATTTTCACCTATAAACCTTTTGGTGTGATGACGATGTGATAATAAACCATTATAATTGTTTTCAGTGTTTATATACTCTGTAATGCATGATAACTGACAGTAACTGTACATATTATTGTCCATTGCCTGCTCGAACCTCTAGCCCGTGTTCAGTTCAGTTCTATTCTGTTCTGTTCCGTTCCGTTCCGTCCCGTCCCGTTCCGTTCCGTTCTGTTCTGTTCGGGTCTGCTTTGTTACAGATCTGCAAAGAGGTTGGAAGAAGTCTGTGATCAACTACAATTTGGCACTGATTCTGCTGCGTTGTTGTGTCAAGTGTGGAACAAGTTGTAATCATCTTGAAACAATTTTCGTGACGGCAAACACCTTGCTACAAGTAGATATAAGAAGTAGTTGACATTATCTTGCACATCATAAGTTAATTGTCGTCGTCAACAAACTGCTACGTACAGACCATATTAGACTTGTTGCAACAACTTGTAACGATCTTTACCGTATCCAAACCTATATTTCAACATGAAAACAACTTGTTTCAGATTCACCGACAACTGGAAACAAGCAGAGTGAACACATCTTGTTAACAAACTGTGAAATTTGTCCGTGTGTGGTCAGTCTAGAGAAGCATTATAGCAAACTAACATAACTAAGCATTAAATATATTTTCAATAAAAAAATAATTCTAAATGACTATAAATAAAGTTGTATTGTAACGTATACTTAGTTGCCTTCAGTAAACTGTGAAGAACCAAAACGAAATAATAGTCGTCGTTGTGTGCAAACTGTAATAAAAGAAGGCGAAAAAGAGAGACTTGGCGGTAACTTTGTTCGTTCACAAATGATACCGCAGTCAAGCGATCAACTCCAAAAACAAAGATGTCAGTCAAATTGCCCATTATAGTCTAATTGGTTTGACGTCTTTAAAAGTGAAGTGTCGTGCAGGCGGCGGCGTAAGTCAACAACATAGGGAAAAGGCAGCAAACTATATGCTGAGAATTTAAAGAAAAGAATTTAGATTTCGAACCAGTAGCGACACTAACAATATAAATAGCAACTGGTCATGCTTACCAAATTTATAAATGTTGGTATTATTCGAAGCTATAGAAATCAATTTTCTTTAACTATTTTGGTGCAGGTTTATTAGCATAGCATGACTACAAGTGCGCCATGGCTAGCTTCACCACTATTTCGAACTATTACTCTCTTTATCGAAAAACCAGATGCCCAACTTTTGATTTTGATCTATTCTGTGATGAAGGATTCGCCTCTTAAATTAAGTTGCTTTCATTCAGTATAGCGTGACTTTATTTCAAAATCACCTGACTCCAAGAACAAAATTGGCCCTCCCAAAGTGCATGTTTTTAATTAACCCTAAAGTTATTATACAGTGTGTATAAAAAACAAGGTAATCGAATTTCAGCGCGCTATTGTACGTGAATTATTCGGCGTATGAACAAATATTTTTCCAATCTCGAAACCAAAGCCCGCAATCCACTGTGGAGGCTTGCTGAGGCTCTGGGAAACACCGGCGACTTTTGCACAATCTCGTTCCCCGAGCATGCCCGTTCGCAGGTTAAGGGTGGGCATAGCTCTGGAGAAATCGAATTGATTCACGTTGAATTTCCAACGTGAGTTCTACGCATGCTCGGCAATGTTGCAAAATATAAATAAAGTATTTAGAATTTCGCGTCGAAAATTTGATACATTTTACACTGAAATTGAATTGAAAACAACTAAAAATTCTGGGGGAAATATGTACGAAAGCTTCGGTTGGATAGGGATACAGCTACCTGAAAAATACAAGGAGAACTTCCACGTTTCGAGCGAAGGCGCTTCGACCTGTGCTGTTTATTAAAGTGTTTGTATACATCGTACTTGACCTTTGCTGATGAATATAATCTCCTCAATAATAAGTATTATATATTTTTATGCTTTAAAATTTACATTTAACTCTTCTGTCAGAATTTATGGTATACATAGTGTTAGGTATGACAGTATATAAAAGGTCAAGTACGATGTATACAAACACTAACAGCACAATTGCAAGTCGAAGCGCCTTCGCTCGAAACGTCGAAGTTCTCCTTGTATTTTTCAGGTAGTTGTATTCCTATCAATCCGCAGCTTTCGTACATATTTCCTCCAGAATTTCTAGTTGGTTTCAATCGATTTCGGTGTAAAAAGTATCAAATTTTCGACGAGAAATTCCAAATACTTTGTTTATATAGAAGTCACGTTGGAAATCCAACGTACTATCTGCCTTTAGCCAATCACAGGCCTGAATCAATTCGATTTCTCCAGAGCTATGCCCACCCTTAACCTGCGAACGGGCATTTGGATCCAGTACTCCGCTCGATATTTATAAATAGACATTACTGCCGTCAAACATGAATTATGCCGTTGTTTAAGCTTATTACGACTTTAATTCTTCAAAGAACACTTGCCATGGTTTTGAATTGTTGTAAGATACTGGTAGTGATTTATTTTAACTTGTTTAATTACGGTAAATCATGGATTGTTGTGTTATTTTAAATATTATAGGCAACGGCTTATCATGACCTTATATGGTAATGCTGCACTGTTGTTATTCTAGCTAAATTTTGTTATTGGCATATCAATATCAGAATAATCTATTGATTTCATATGAGAAGCTAGGAAAGCTTAATAAGTTTATTAAAGTTATGCTGTGTGTTTCATTGATATGTTTAAACATAATACACAAAGAAAATAAACTTTATATTAATTAAACGATGTTTGAATCACTAAATCGACCCACAGTTTGAATAATAATTAGTAGGGATGGGCGATACCAGGATTTTTAATTCGATACCGATACCGATACTTTTAAGATCGGTATCGGCCGATACCGATACCTATTTCGATACCAAAATGTACACAAAATTTCAATTTTCGTTACCGGAAGTGAGTACTTAAATTACTAGTATCGCTACTTTCGATACCTGCCGGTCAGCGGAAAAGCATTTTACATTACTGTATGCGACCCCCCCCCCGTCGCCAAAAAAATTTCGGCCAGTGTACCATTTTAGGGGTTAAAAATTTTTTTCGGACATATCCAAATTTTTTCGGACATCATCTATTTTCCCCATTTATCTAAATTTTTTTTTCTAAAATCTAAAAATTTTCCATAATTTTCTAAAATTTTTGTCAATTAACCACATTTTTTCCAAATTCACACTTTCTTTGTAATAAAGTCTTTTCATTCAACCAAGAAGTGAAATTAAACAAGTCATTTAATTAAAAACGAGTGCAAGTATCGAACGATACCACGTCAGTAATCGATACCGATACCGCTGTTTGTGGTATCGCTGGTATCGAATACTGAGTCCTCGGTATCGCCCATCACTAATAATTAGCACTTGAAAAACAACCAATCAGAGCTCGACTTTCGCTGGTGTTTCCCAGAGCCTCAGCAAGCCTCCACAGAGGATTGCGGTCTCTGCTTTCGAGATTAACATTTTTCATATTCGGAAAGATCAGGCTTTTAGCTATTGACAACCTCGTCCCCAGGGCCTTCGTGCAAAACATTGTTCAATCCTGTTTTCATCAGTATTGCATCAACCTGAGCGTTTTTACGCGTGTAATATATATCCCCAAGGTTGGCAACTAAATACAAATTTAAATTTAAACTGTATACACAAAATTTAATGACGAAAAAAATCGTACATAAACATCGAAATTCATTTAAAAAACTAACTCAGTATGGTAAGAAATAACTTTAGTACTTCTACATTGTGTTTTTTTCTTCTCTCATAACTTTTAAACGAGTTAATTATGCGAAAATTCCGAGGAAAATTCATCAAATTCGTAACTCAATTTGATCAAAACTATGCGGGATGATGGCTCCCGGCGTTACGTCACAAAATAAAGCTCTCTGATTCGCTGGGAAATTTCAGACTGTCAATCAGAGTTTTTTGAAATTTAAAAACATTTCAGCAAATCAGAGAGCTTTATTTTGTGACGTAACGCCGGGAGCAGTCATCCCGCATAGTTTTGACTAAATTGAGCAATTTTCCTCGGAATTTTCGCAAAATTAACTCGTTTAAAAGTGATGAGAGAAGAAAAAAACACAATGTAGAAGTATTAAAGTTATTTCTTACCATAGTGAGTTAGTTTTTTTAATGAATTTCGATGTTTATGTACGAATTGTTTCGTCATTAAGTTTGTGTATACAGTTTTAAATTTATATTTAGTTGCCAACCTTGGGGATATATATTACGTCTTCCTCGTGGTGGCGCGTGAGCTGAGGAAGACCCTGGTAAAATACGATGAAATCTCCAAGATTCTTGGAGATTTATCGCATGCGCAGTAACGACAACGTTATGTTGCCGACTACAATTAGCGCTGGCGCTTACGATTTTCTTGTTTGAAAATATACATGTTTTGTTGATTGTTTATGTATTTATTCTCAAAGTTTTAAGAATTTTTACGAAAAATACTTCAGGTATAAGCTGTAAACACAAATGTACAAAAAACTATGCAACATTCATCATCATATTGTATCAATTTGTCGGAGTATGGCGCTCATATTTGTGACATTGTTTTGTTCGCTTTGGCAACCCTCGTATATATCAGATGCTGTTCGGTTTCAAATGCGACTGAATAAAAACTGATAGTGTTGCCTGGAATATGAAATGATATTGACTGATTGTTCTGTATATCAAGGTACGTACTGTACATTTATACTGGATTTATTCTATTTATTTTCACACGTTGCTTTCACATTTTCTCAGAGTCTTGGAAATCACATTTTCTAATAAACATAGTCACACATACAGAAAGACTTCATTTCACACATACAGAAAGACTTCTTCAGAAATCACTGTTTTTAACATACAGAAAAACTTCATATTATCTCATCAGTTAATCAAATTATGATAACAGTAGAAATGCTTAGAAAGATTTTATTCTGTTTTGAAGTGTTTTCCATATACAGTACAAGTGTGCAACTGTTATTTCGATTTTCTCTTTCCTATATTTTCTTTAAAGCAGGTACTGTTCTGTTACAAAACAACTAATAAACATTTTATTATTTTAACAGGTGAACCATATTTTATATGAACTTGGGAAAAAACCAACTTGAATTCCATGGAAATATAAGATTATTTCACAGTAACCAACATGAACATTTTTAAATGGGAATGAGTTGATGGCATTATAGTTTTCTAATGCTATATAATTTTGTTCATCAAGGTGAAGAAATACCCGTTTCCCTGCTACAGAGCTATGGAAGTAATCTTAGAAGATTTTTATGATCCCTCTATTCAGTAGGCCTAGTTCTTTAACCAGTCTAGTATTATGACTGTATTATGTTAAATAGCCTTGTTTGACTTTTGTATTTTGTTTCTTTAATAATACATTTACAATGGTCAAAATTACAGTTTATTATTTGTATTTCTAATGATAATTACTTGCACATATCCATCACACTTCTCTGTTACTATTAAACTTATTACTATCATGCAAGTAAAATCTCTTGGGAAAAATAAAATGTTGTCCCAGGACGGTGATAAATATCAGCTAGTAAAACTAATGAATATACCTATAATCATGTACATATGACTATCATATAATATGTTGTAATTCCTTTAAGTGTTTCAAATTAAATAAATTTCTATTTTCAGTTGTTCATTGTTCAAACTTATTTGAAACATACAGTATATGTAATTGCTATGATTCAAATTAATATCCAAAAGTCTGCCTTTTACTTCAGTCCTTACAGACTCCTCCCTAATACAGACACTTTATTGTGCCACTCCAATGTTCTTCATTCAAAGTGATCCAACTGACATCTGAGCTGGTGATAATATACAGCAAAGTATTGGAAGTAGGAGTATATCAGATAAGTTGTTCATTCAGTCAAGACCTTCAGGTTGTGCTGATCATCATATCAAACTCCATCACATATTGTGCCTTAAAAACATATATACAAATTTTAAAAGTTGTTGCAGCACACTGGGCCATTCCATCTAATATAGCCCTCCCCCCACACCCTATTGAGGGGTCTCTTCATAATACCTTAAAAAATTTGGAACCCCATTGGATGCAATTTTGGAACCCCCATGGATGTCTTTCTACCCCTGTAGGATATTGTTCCTGCCCCTTTGGATATCACTAAAACACCTAATTTTTAGAAAATCTCTTAAGCTACCCTCCAGAAAAATTTAAGGTAAAAACCCCCTCTCTAAAATCCCCATATAGGATATCTAGACCTCAATAGGGGGGCTATTAAATGGAATGGCCCATTTGACTTGGTGAGTGGTGACTACCACCAAAGCAAAATGAAAGCATGCTGCCCTGCTTTACATAGAAAACAGAATAAATTTTGAAACATTTCTACTGTTAATACTAGCTTGTAACGATAATCAGAATTGATGAGAAAATATGGAGTCTTTCTGTATGACTGTATGTTTACAGTGATGTGATCTCACTGTTCATACAGTAATGGGCTGAAATAGTTTGAAACTCGTGTGAAAATAAATCCAGTATAAATGTACAGTACGTACCTTGATATACAGAATAATCAGTCAATATCATTTCATATTCCAGGCAACACTATCAGTTTTTATTCAGTCGCATTTGAAACCGAACAGCATCTGATATATACGAGGGTTGCCAAAGCGAACAAAACAATGTCACAAATATGAGCGCCATACTCCGACAAATTGATACAATATGATGATGAATGTTGCATAGTTTTTTGTACATGTGTGTTTACAGCTTATACCTGAAGTATTTTTCGTAAAAATTCTTAAAACTTTGAGAATAAATACATAAACAATCAACAAAACATGTATATTTTCAAACAAGAAAATCGTAAGCGCCAGCGCTAATTGTAGTCAGCAACATAACGTTGTCGTTACTGCGCATGCGATAAATCTCCAAGAATCTTGGAGATTTCATCGTATTTTACCAGGGTCTTCCTCAGCTCACGCGCCACCACGAGGAAGACCCTGGGGACGAGGTTGTGACACAACGCTATTGTGATGTTGCACGTACTTCATGTAATACAAATTATAGAGGTTTTACTGTACATTGAAGCATTGCATGTCAAAGCATTGTATTTTAAAGCAAATTGTATGGACTTTTTTTTAAATAAAAGACCTTTTCGGGAGACCTATTGTATGATTTGTTCGAAAAATATAAACAATGTATCACTACAGACATACCTTTTGCGGAACGCAACTTCGGCCCCTTCGAACATATCTTTTTCGTTGTAGTCTTGTTCGATTCACAATCAAAAAAGGCTATATACAGTGTTATCTTCAAGCTTATATCCCCAGTTTTTCATCTTTTATTTCTGTATTATAAAAATATATAAAAAGTCTTTTATACCATATTTATTTATGTCCTGGGAAGTGATTCAGCCATAAAATACTGCTGAACCCACATTTTCCCATTTTTGGCCCCCGGTACAAATAGGGTTAAGTTGTGAACATATTTTAATATTGATCGATTGAACAGCGAATCGACACAACCAGTGCGACAACGCCTTAAATAAACAGAATGTGAGAGCTGGAACGAGCTAACAACGCCAACCCACACTTTTAAAACTCAACGTTGATTGGCTGCATACAAATCACACCACTTGCTACATCACGTGTACAAAGATCCCTCAACCGTTAGTATATAAAGGGCGTGCACAACCCAAATTCGTCAGTGAACGTAGACTTAATAAAACTTAACTGATGAAAAGCTACTGAAGCTCAAACGAAACTAGACAACGACAAAGAAAAAACGAACAGTGAACAACGAAAGAGGCTGAAGAAAGAAGATAACTTTGAAAAGAAACGATTTCAATATTAACATTATAGTGACACTAATTAGAAACACTGTAACGATTCCCTACCTCGCGTAGAGAAAAGGAATAAAAATTATATATTCCTAACACGTTCGTCAAACTGTCCGTCGGCAAAATGTCCGTTCGGCAAAATGTCTTTCGGCAAAGTGTCTTTCGGCGAAATGTCCGGCCACCGGATGTAACGAAGAATAGAATAGTATACGTTTTGTGAATGTAGTATTGTCGCGAAAGGCAAGAAAATTTTAAACCCCCAATTTAATAAAAAAATTGATGTTTTCTGCTTCGCCTATAGCTGCGCTCAAAAGCTCCAAACACAGCATGTCATTACTCAAATGACTACTCAATAAACTTTCACACTAACGGCATATTAACCCATAAAATCTACTCATTTATTTAGACTGCGTTCTCACTACACGGGTGCGAAATAAAGACGGCATTATGTCTGTGGAAACTGTACAAAAGGCGCTTGTGTGATGTTACTCTGAGTGTATACCCACACCGGGCAGGCTTGAAAAATATGCCTGGCCACGGTAGGAATCGAACCTACGACCTTTGGAATACTAGCCCAATGCTCTGCCAACTGAGCTACGCGGTCAGGTCGGTTCGAGTATGCGATGTTTCGGAACTGAGTCCAGTTCCTTCGATATCAGCATAATCTAATAATCATGATATTTGCTGTGTTGGTGTAATGTACTCAGGTGAATAAGATGCTTGTGTGATGTTACTCTGAGTGTATATCCACACCGGGCAGGTTTGAAAATATGCCTGGCCACGGTTTGACAGTATTCCAAAGGCTAGTATTCCAAAGGTCGTAGATTCGATTCCCACCGTGGCCAGGCATATTTTTTCAAGCCTGCCTGGTGTGGATATACACTCAGAGTAACATCACACATGAATCTTATTACACCAACACAGCAAATATCATGATTATTAGATTACACTGATATCGAAAGAACTGGACTCAGTTCCGGAATATCGCATACTCGAACCGACCTGACCGCGTAGCTCACCGGGCAGAGCATTGGGCTAGTATTCCAAAGGTCGTAGGTTCGATTGCCACCGTGGCCAGGCATATTTTTCAAGCCTGCCCGGTGTGGGTATACACTCAGAGTAACATCACACAAGCATCTTATTCACCTGAGTACATTACACAAACACAGCAAATATCATGCATGTACAAAATACGTTAGAGTTTCAGTGCGGATTCGCAAAACCAGCTCAAATAATGAAAAATATATTATTATTAAGAATTAAAAATAAATGATAAAAAAATCATGGAGACGGTGCCACTGTTGACACGAAGCCATCATAAGTGTTCCGTGTTTTTCCAGCTCCGTTTAGAAAGCGTGCTCAAAATGTAACGGCAAAATGACGTTTTTAAACAATTTCGCTCCGTCATAGTGCGAACGCTACGGCTAATTGTGACTTTTCTTCACCGTTTTTAAACCGCTCCGACATAGTGTGAATATTGTCTTTAAGTGTCGAAATGAGTGACGAATTTGTCTTTAAGTGTCGAAATGAGTGACGAATTAGTTCTCAGAGATCGCAGACATCACACGAGATTTAATTGACTCTGATCAAAATGCTTACAAAGAAGGACATAATGCAACCATGGCTCTAATTAAATGCCAACATATGTGCCAAAAAATCAGGTTAAATGACAGGTGCAGGGGAAGAAAATCGAAGACATTTATTTCGCAAAACAAAACTGCCGTGGCCTTTTGTTTTTTTCTTACTCCCCTAAACACTGTCCCCAATTTTTGTCCATTTCGGGAGGATGATTACAAATCTATAATTATGGTTATTGATGTTGAATTGTAAGATTGAAACTAACAACTTGAAGGTTTATACGATATTGCTGAATTTAATGACTGTAACGTAACACGTTGTTGAAAAACTTGTAGCAAGTTTGTGAAATCTTTTGAATTGTAGCAATTTCCAGTCGTTGAAAACTTGTCAACAAGCTGGGAACAAGCAAAAGTACAATCAGCTCGTTGTAACCATATACAATGTTAGGAGGAGTTATTATTTTTAAACTTTTGTAATTTTGTATTCTTTTGTATTTTAAACTTCACCCTACTTTACTCTAATCCTAATCCTAACCCTAATCATAACCCTTTCTTTAATCCAAACCCTAAACCCTAAAAGTCTAAAAATAGTAACTCCCCTTAAAACGTGAATTAGAGTGTTAGTTTTCCTCAGTTTCGTCACAACTTTCTTCATCACTCTCGCTTCCTGATTGATCACTGCTACTGTTCCCATTATTATCACCAGGTAACAAACTGACCAATACACGAAATCGACCTTTTATCTAAACAAGAAACAAGCCAACTTTACATTTGCTCGCACCTATATCACGACCATGCCATTATGACCAATTGTGATACTCCAGAGTTTGGCAAATACAACGGCGACGTCAATAAAGATGTGCTCATCAACAATTATAGCATTTTTACTCTAAGATAGGCAACTATAAATTGTATTCAGGCAACTACTTATTTTACTAACAACTTATTTTACTCAGGCAACTATAAATTGTACTCTATTTCTGTCCTTATCCTTGAGCATTCTAGTTCGCTGTAGTTGTTCAAACTGCTACGTCATTTGCATCATTTTCACGGCTCATAACAATGCCAACAGTTAAAACATTTCAAGTTGCTATACTGTGTAGATTGTTTGGTGAATTAACTGACTATTGCTCCTTAAGGGATTAAGAAATGTAAGTACTTTTAATATGAAAATAAAGCTTGGTAATGTATGCTTTGGCTCCGATACAAAAATGTAAGTAATTTTGTTCTCTGCTGTTGCCGCGGTTGCTAATTAGCCTTTCTCACGCCGCCATTTTCGGGGTACTTTTTTGCCAATCCTGCGAGCGTAACACAATGTAACGGCGACATTTTATAATTTTGTGGGCGTATGATGGTAAATTTACTCTGCAAATAGTTAGTTTGTTCTGAAATATTGCTTTTCACATTGTTATAATCGTTTACGAAAAATTACAGTACCCCAAAAATGGCGGCGTGAGAAAGGCCAATTGTGTCACTCCCCATTGTATTAAAAACAGTTTGATATATATTTTTTCTTTTAGACACTCCAAGACTGATTTGCATACAGCATATAGAAGACAAGATAGATCCATACAATTGACATATATCACACGATGATTACGACACTCCATCTCAAACTGACGTACAGTTATCCGATATTACTGTTAGTGTGGAAGAAGTCGTGAACGATTTGCGCAATTTAGATGTAACCAAGGCACACGGTCCTGACGGAATTCACCCTCGCTTATTGAAGGACTGTAGTGAACAAGTTAAACCAAGTTTGTGTGCGTTATTCAATGATTCTCTGAACCGCGGCAGAGTATCCATAGAGTGGAAGACTGCGAACATCACACCTGTTCATAAGAAGGAGTCAAAAGAAGTAGCTGAGAACTTTCGTGTTATCTCGCTGTTGATTCAAGATTCTCGAACGCTCTGTATGCAGCAATCTGTCCAACAATATATCCCATCTAATCACTAATGAACAACATGGCTTCATCAGAAACCGATCGTGTGTTACACAACTTCTCTCTGTTTTCCACGCTATTGGCAAGAGCTTGGACAAGAGCATCCAAGGTTTTTTATATTTGGACTTCGTCAAAGCATTCGACTCAGTGGTTAGCGCACTTGCCTTTCGCCTCTAAGGTAGCTGGTTCAAGTCTCAGTGAGAACTTCTCAATGTGACTCGAACCCAGTCCTCATGTGAAAAGAGTAATAGTCAACGCTCTGCCGAAAGTCGTGGGTTTTCTCCAGGTACTCCGGTTTCCTCCTACATTGAAAGTTGACAGGGTGGGTTAGGCACTTAGGTCAGGGGGCAGATCATTAATGAGGTATGCATGACTAATAGCGGCTGCTCAAGCGCCATTTGTAAGCTCAAAGTCTACCTCGGTCTGCTTCACGTCAGTCCGGTCCTATCTATTCACAATGTAACCAGTCACTGAAAAGCCCTGATAGGGAGTGTGCTGTGAAATATCTGTATCTGTACATTCTCCTTAACGACGACTACAATTATATGGAGTGAATGGAAACTTGTTGAATTGGTTCACCGACAACCTGCATTAGGCCGTTTGCTGCATCCCGATACCGTTCACTTTCATTTCACCCATCTTGGAACTGAAATATTTTTACGGGAACTAACACTTTCGAACACGCTGAGTTCAAATCCGAAAAGTTCCCGCTCCGTAGACCTACAGTTTTCTCACAAACTGCAATTTTATCTTCACTAATTTCACGACAACTTTTTTCATTGTTCAACGACACGGATCGATGACGACAAACGATTATATCACTCAAAAAGACCAATTTCTATTAACCAGTCTACCTTTTAACGAAAGACCGGTTTTGCTCGACTCATTTTGAGTTATGTTATATTATTCGTGTTGGACGTAAACAACATATCTTGTCTACAACTTTGGGAAAGTACAGATAAAGCTCTCTGAAATCATCTGTTCTGGCTCTATCTCAATAAAATCACAAGGACGTTAATCCTAAGTCTTTTGGCTATGTCTCTCGGCTGAGAACAGTGGCGGCGGAACAGGGGGGGGCTAGGGTTTTCTCTCTTTGTTTTCTCTGGAAAAATTTTGATAATTAAGGAAAAATGTAGGTTATTTTTGGAAAATTTAGGTATAAGGGGAAAAATTTGGAATATTTTGTTTAAAAATCGAGTATGTCCGGAAAAATTTTTTGTTAGGTCCGGAAAATTTTTTGTACCCCTAAAATGGTACACTGACCGAAATGTTTTTGGCGACGGGGGGGGGGACGTCACGGAAAAAAAATTTAGCCCCCCCCCAAACTGAAATCCGTTTCGCCGCCCCTGGCTGAGAAATAACTCTTTTAACGCAATCAAGGTATTTAAAACAAAAGTAACGCGAAGCCAACGGAACGGCAAAGACAACACTAAAATGAAATATTGTCGATGGGTTGCTGGTAGAAGACTTACGACAGGATCACTCTTATTAAATAATCTTAAACTAGAAGAATAAATGGTCACATCAAAGACAAATACCAGTGCCAAAGTATAAAATCTGCTCTGTAAACTTACGAGGAAGTTGAGAAATGTGGGCATGAGCTGTTTATTTGGTGATTACAACGTATATGAAAGCCCTCTTTCTAATAATACTTGCTAATCACACAGAATAACACCAACTGATATAATAGTTCAAATGCAATGATAAGTTACCTCTTGAATTACGTCTCAAAACCTGTGTTGGAAATTTAAATGCTGACCCATTATATAACATTACCGTTTTACATCGTTGTATAAAACATTTTGATCGCATGTAAGGAATTGTTTCTCATCCCAGAGATATAGCCCAACGACTTAACATTGACGTCCTTGTGATTTTATAGAGATACAGCCAGAACTGAGGATTTTAGAAAGCTTTATCTGTACCTTCCCAAAGTTGTAGACAAGATATGTTGTTTATGTCCAACACGCATAATATGACATAACTCAAAATGATTCGAGGAAAACCGGTCTTTTGTTAAAAGGAAGACTGGTTAATAGAAATAAGTCTTTTGGAGTGACATAATCGTTTGTCGTCATCGATCCGTGTCGTTGAACAATGAAAAAAGTTGTGGTGAATTTGTGAAGATAAAATTGCAGTTTGTGAGAAAACTGCAGGTCTATAGAGCGGGAACATTTCGGATTTAAACTCAGAGTGTTTGAAAGTGTTAGTTCCCATAAAAATATTTCAGTTCCAAGACAGTGTTGCACTTTTCTGTCTTACACAGCAAGACAGTTGCGCTTCGTGGGGACTGTATACTATCAAAACAATACCATAGGAAATAGAACACGCGTACTTTAAAACATATTTATTTTAATACGATTCAAACGATAAAATATATAACAAACAATCCTTCTGGTTTTCTCTCGTGCTTTCAGTCTGACAATCAACTCGAAGTCTATTATTTATGACATACGATCCATTTCGTACGTCAATCAACTAAATCACCCATTGTTTGGTCTCCTACGGCGTTATCAATAGTATAATGTTACAAATTATTCTACACACTCCCTCCTTTGAGCCTGTAAGGGTCAAACATGACTTGTGTTCAGTGGCGTAGCCAGCCCGACAACTTAGTCCCGCTATGCAAATTCGAAATTATTACCATTATTCATTTCTTTAGAAATTGATTGTTTTCACAGTCAATGAACACAAAAATATTTGCATAGCGGGACTAAATCGTCGGGCTGGCTACGCTACTGCTTGTGTTCTCGAATGTGCATCCAAAGCTGCTGCTCTCCTAGGTCTATTACTATGGACACAGCTTTCCACCTTACCCTTCTCTCCGTCTTTCTCATTCATTCCCGTCTTTCCTTTCTCATTAGTTTTCGTCTTTCCTTTCTGGTTATCGTACCCATCCACTTCATTTTCAACTTTATTATCCTTTCTTTCTTCCGTACTGCTTCCGTTCTCATTTAACTCTACAGGATACAATTTCTGAACTGGTCTATTAAGATATACTGGATTTCCTTTAGTCATCACTCTCACTTTCGCTCCTCGAACCACTTCATCTCTACCGACAATTAAACTCTCAATCCTACCTATCTTCCATAATCCTCTCTTAAGGTTCTCGTCAAATACTAAAACTACATCTCCCATTCTTCACGTTGCTATCCCTCTTCTCCCTCTTACTTCTATGATGCTCTCTCAAATTCGTCAAGTATTCCTTTCTCCATCTCTCCCAAAAGTGAACTCGCAGTTTCGCTAGATGCCTAAACCTACGCTTAACCTTTGTCTCATCATTCTCTTCAATTTTGTGACTAGTCTCATCTGAACTTAATTCACAGACATAATACACAACTGCACAATAGGCTTTCCAACTAGCATCACCAAACCCATGGAATGAACATTTGGGTTTTCCAATTAGACTTCCATACACACACCTTGGTATCATAATTTGACCTACAACTTCAAGATCATGAACCCAACCTAACCATTGCTTCAAATATTTTCCATTTAGTTCAGAATCCCAATTTACTTTGTCCAAACACAGTGCTTGAAATAACATCTTAATACTTACTACCATTGGGCTAAGAATTCCCAATGGATCAAACAACCCAGCTAATATTCTAAGAATATTGCGTTTGGTAACAGGTTGCGATTTTGCTTTCTCAACTAAACCTTGAAACAAAAACTGAAATTCATCAGTTGTACAATTCCAAGCTAACCCAAGGACTTTCACTGATGTGTCATTTTTGCCTGTCATGCAAAGGAATGACTTAGCAAATGTTTCTTCACATGCCAAGTTTCCTCTATCAGGCTTGATTTCTTCCTTTGATTGGATTTTCCCTATTACAAGTTTACTATTACTGAGCCATTTCCTAAGCTTGAAACCCCCAGAAGCTAAATTGTTACTAGAAGCCTCATATAATGATAATGCATGCTCAGGGGTTTGTTCTCCAGTTACCGGATCATCAACATAAAAGCCGTCCTTCAACTTTCGAGTCAATTCAGGATTACCCTTCGAAAAGCGGTGTTGAAGTGGCCAATTCAGCAAAAATGGTGAACAGTTCACACCAAAAACAACTCTACAAAATCTATACTCTACTGGCTTCACCTCATCTTCATGTATGTTGCCCACCCAAAGAAATCTCAAACAATCTCTGTCACCCGGATCAATTTCAATATTTAAAAAAGCCTTCTCTATATCTGCTACAAGCGCTATTCGCTTTTCTCTAAAACGCAATATAATGTGATACAACAACGGGGATAGAGGTGGCTCAACATGCAAGCAGTCATTTAAAGATACACCCTTCTTAGTCTCTTTACTCGATGCATCATACACAACCCTGACCTTAGCGGTCTTTGCATCTTTACGAACCACAGCATGATGTGGTAGATAATGGATCTTATCAGCTCTCTCTAACTCTACAACTGGTTCTATAATACCTAGCTCTAACTGTTCTTTAATTACTCTGTCATACTCTTGTAAAACTTCTGGCTCCTTCTTTAATCTTAAAAGCTGTCCCTTTAATCTCTGCACACTACAGCTATAATTAGTTGGCAATAAACTATGCCCTTCCTTCCAAGGTAAACTTACACTATATCGTTGGCCATTGAAATGTATTGAATCATTTAATAACTCACTAGCTTCCTCTTCATGCTTTATACCTAACGTTTCATAATCCCATAATTTTTCAACACATGCTTCAAGGGACCTATTTTTTGATGAATTTACATGCCCAATAAGGTTTATACTTACCTGTGCACACGATGTAGGACCATCATCATCTTCAGAGCTACTCTTCAGTGGACCTGACAACACCCATCCTAATTTGGTTTGTACCGCAACAGGTTCATCACTCTTGCCCCTAACCGTACGCCCTTCTTGAAATATCCACAAATAATCTGCGCCGATTAGTAACTCTATTTCTAACACATTCTTGGTCTTACAAACATCGGAAAACCATAACCCTTGCAAATGTGGGTAATCTTTCTTCCTTGTCTCTACATGCTCATTCCTAATCTGTGAAATGCTGTCTACTCCATAAACTTCAATGCTAACACTCTCTC